ATTCCTATTTTACGCTAATTCTACCTACACTATAGAAACTCTTAATTATAGCCCAAACCAATTCCTAAGGAGTGTGGCCCAGTCAAAAGATCATGCTGGGCCATTTCTGGGAACAATTGATTACAATCTCTTAACAAAATGGCTGTTCTGAAATCCTATAAATCTATTTTAACTTTTATAAAAGTTTCTAAATCCTAATCCTGATCATCAGCAATAAAGCTTCTAAAAAATAAAACCCAAATATAAACTGTAAATTGTATTAAAGCCAAAACCGCAAATGTAGAAAATGAAAACAATGTAACTTCTAAAGTTAGCTGTATTCTTATTAAACCTCAAAATATCATGTTTGATCATGCTTGAACTGACATAATTCACTGACATAGCATAACTTATTCTACAGTACTTTCTATGAATAAAATAAATTCAATTTCTATAATAAGTAGAAAAAACCCTATATTAACTGTAGCTAAAAACCGGTTTAAAAGAAAGCAGCCTAGTCCAAAGTACACGCTGGGCTCTTAGGAATGTGGCCCAGCCCAAAGTTTGTGCTGGACTGTTTCTAGTAGCTCTAGATATTTATCTATATTATTAAGGTTGAAACAGCACTTTGTATGTATATACTAATTCTACAAATATACTATTAAACTTAAAAGAAGCTTGTACCGTATTAAAGCCTTCCCAAATGTGACCTGAGTTTGAATTATGTTAAGTTTAAAGTCGAAACCGCAGTCTGTGAGAAATGGGAACAATGGACCCCTAAAGTAAGCCATGCCTGTTGTACTCTCAGAACTTCATGCTTAGATCATCAAAGTCCCTGCTAGTGGGATGTGCTAAACAGCAAAGAAGGGAAGAGGGAATGGGCCTTCAACTCCTGAACTCATCCTAGTGGTCTCAGAGTCTGCAGCCTGCCTGGATCCCTAATGCTCAGGTGGGCCTCCACAGCCGGTTCCCAACACTGGGCAACACAGTGAGAGATCTCATCTCTAAAAAAAAAAAAAAAAAAAAAAAAAATATATATATATATATATATATATATATACTTTTTGAGTAGAAGTCTCACTCTGTCGTTCCAGCTGAAGTGCAGTGGCATGCTCACAGCCACCACAGCCTCAACCTGCCGGGCTGAGGGGATCCTTCTGCCTTAGCCTTCCAAGTAGCTGGAAATACAGGCATGTGCCACCACGCCTGGCTAATTTTTTAATTTTTATTATAGAGACGAGATCTTGCTAAGTTGCCCAGGCTGGTCTTGAACTCCTGGGCTCAGACAATCCTCTTGCCTCCACCTCCCAAAGTGCTGGGATAACAGGCGAGAGCCACTGTGCTCAGCTAACTCCTTTTTTTTAATTAGCTGGGTGTGGTGGCATGCACCTGTAGTCCCAGCTACTCGGAGGCTGAGCTGAGACGATCGCTTGAGCCCAGAAAGTTGAGGCTGTAGTGAGCTATGATTGCACCACTGCTCTCCAGTGTGGGCAAGACCCTGTTTCAGAAAAAAAAAAAATTAAGCCGGGCTTGGTGGCTCAGCCTGTAATCCCGTGCTTTGGGAGGCTGAGGTGAGTG